GTCCCTGGTGACCCAGACAGGGGTGACCCGGTGACCCAGCAGAGGGCTGAAGCACATGGCTGCGAATGAGGAGGAAGTGGTAGTTGAGAAGATGGAGACAGCACAGAAGGACAATTCGCTCCAGAAGCTTGGAGGGGAAGGGAAAATGAGTGAAAAAGGAGTAGCTAGAAATGTAAAGGGAGTCAAGGGGAGGCGGTGTCATATCTCAGGATGGGAAGATGTCATCTCAGGATGGGAGGAGACTTGGTGGGGGGGGAATAGCCTAAAGGGGCAGGATGAGGGATGGAGTGGGGTCCGTGTGGAGCTGGAGAGCACCTGGGAGGAGAAAGGAGGTGAGTGGGTTTGGAATAGTGCGCACCAATCACATATCTCAAATCTCCCTCTCCTCCTCAAGTTCAAGTCCTCCACTTCGCACTCCTCACCTGGACCCCTGTGCTGGCCTTCGGACGCTCAGCCTTGGGGTGTAGGCTTGCTGGGCGAACGGCCAGGAGAGGCTGACTGAACAGAAGGAAATAGGATGAGCTGGTGGCCTCTGTGAAGTCAGGGGATGAGGCTCTAGGAGTGGGAAGGCAGACGTGCTGCAAGAGGGGCTTTGTGGGACCCTTGAGGCTGGGGGTCCAGAGGGGACCATTCAAGGCATGGCCCCAGAGAGGATGGCAGGGTCATGATGAAGGTCACCAAGGAGGTCAAGGAAGGGTATTGGAGGGCCATCTGCATGGATCAGCAGGACATTAGGACAGATTGCCTGACAAATTCTGAAGTCCTTGATGGATGGAAGGGGGTGACAGGGAGGGAAACAGATGAGCGTGATGAGAAGAGATGGTAAAGTAGAGACAGAGGGCAGGAGTCTCAGAGAGGGAGAAAATGTACACAGGAAAAGACCCTCCAAAGTGTGCATGGGGCTTGTCCATGAGGGCAGGGAGAATTATGGGTAGCTCTGATTTCTTCTTTATACTTTCCTGTTATTTCCTCCAAGTTTCCTACAATGAAAAATTGTTAAATTTTTAATGTTTATTATTTTTGAGAGAGAGAGAGAGAGAGAGAGAGTGCAAGTGGGGGAGGGAGAGACAGAGTGGGAGACACAGAATCTGAAGCAGGCTCCAGGCTCTGAGCTGTCAGCACAGAGCCCGATGTGGGGCTCGAACCCACGAAGTGTGAGATCATGACCTGAGCTGAAGACAGACGCTTAACTGACTGAGCCACCCAGGTACCCCTGAATTTTTTTTTTTGAAAAGTAAAAGATAAGAAAAAAATACAAATGACAAACGGCCCCATTCACAGCATCTAGAATTTGTAACTGTAAACATACCAAAGTCCCCTTTAAGTGCCTCCTCCTCTTAGACAAGCATGATCAGTTGGTTTTTGTTTTATGCACATGTATATACACACTTAAAATAGAATATGGTGGGTTTTTAAAAAAAATTTTTAAAGTTTATTTATTGATTTTGAGAGAGAGAGAGAGAGAACAAGCCGGGAGGGGCAGAGAGAAGAAAAGACAGAATCCCAAGCAGGCTCCATACCATCAATGCAGAGCCCAAATGCAGGGCTCAAACTCACAAACTGTAAGATCATGACCTGAATCGAGATCAAGAGTTGGATGCTTAACCAACTGTACCACCCAGGCACCCCAGTGTGTTGTTTTAATTGATTATTTATTTTATATTAGAGAGAGACAGCCCGGGCAAGCAGGGGAGAGGGACTGAGGGAGAGAGAGTGACAATCCTAAGCACTCCATGCTCAGTGCAGAGCCTGACGCGGGGTCCCATGCAGGGCTCGATCCCACAACCCTGACCTGAGCTGAATTCGAGGATAGGTCGCTCAACAGACCGAGCCACCTAGTCACCCCAGAATACGGTAGGGTTTGTGCATGATTGTTTCTTCCACATAGAGGAAGTGTTCGAATAATCAGAGGGGCTGGAGCCTTCTCTTGAGCTGAGCAGCCGAGCAGGGAGGCCGTGCCCTGGGAAGACCCAGCCTTCAGCTGAAGTACACTGGGCCACACCTGGTTGTTAAATGTTCCAGGAAGAGAGAGAATTACTACTTGTATTTTTCTGGCCAGGTTTCTACCCAATCTCACGGCTCTCGAGTTATTTACACCACAGAGATCTGGGAGGCAGAGAAGGCAATCATTATCCCCATTTGACAGATGGAAAACTGAGGTCCAGTGAATGGCAGTGACTTACCAGCATGTCACAGTGTGCTGGTAGAGGATAAGAGACTAGAGCTTGGCCTAGGTTTCTTCCTAGAAGCCCAGGCCAGTGTGCAGAAGGGTGGGGAAGAGGCAAGGGACACTGGGTGGCTTGGACTTTGGCCACCTGGCAATAAGGAAGAGAAATGGAAATAACTTCAGGTAGCTTAACCTGGGCCATGACTGGCAAATTGTCTGGGAAGAAACAGATAGGCAGTTTACCCTCTTCAGAGGGTAACAGGCCATCCCTGGAGGCTAGGGCTCCCCTCCCCCCATTCCCCACCCCCCCATAGTCCCCTCCTGCATTCAGGAGTAGCCTTTACAAGTACACAGGTCTCAGCCCTATACCACTGATACATGCTGTGTGATCTTTCTTTTTTTAAAATTTTTTAAAATGTTTTTGTTTATTTCTGAGAGGGAGATAGCGTGAGCAGGGGAGATCAGAGAGAGAGGGAGACACAGAATCTGAAACAGGCTCTAGGCTCTGAGCTGTCAGCACAGAGCCCAACGCGGGGCTCGAACCCACGAACCGTGAGATCATGTCCTGAGCCGAAATCGGACGCTTAACTGACTGAGCCACCCAAGCGCCCCTCTTTTTTTTTTTAATGTTTATTTTTAGAGAGACAGAGCATGAGTGGGGAAGGGACAGAGAGAGGGAAACACAGGATCTGAAACAGGCTCTAGGCTCTGAGCTGTCCGCACAGAGCCCAACGCAGGCCTCGAACTCACGAATGATGAGCTCATGACCTGAGAACCATGAATTCATGACCTGAGCCGGATTGAAGTCAGATGCTTAACCAACTGAATCACCCAGGCACCACCATGCGGTGTGATGTTTGAAAAGCCTTGTACTTGTCTGGGCCTCAAATTTCTCATCTTTAAAACAGGATAATAACCTTTAACTCAGTATTGTTCCAAGAATAAAAAGAGAGGATCCTCATCTATGCATCTGAAAGCAAGAGATATTTGCGAGGTCCAGGTCCCCAGCCTAATTCCAAGAAGGCCCAGATGGGCTGTGTCAAGAGAACCGCCTGACACTGATGGGAAAGCCACATGCACTCACATACGTGAGATTTGGCACTGACCTTGCAGTGACCACATGTGCTCTCCAGGGCGGCCCCTGGGAGGTGCCCTTTGTCATCAGAAAGTTGTTGCTGGAGTGGGGTAGGGTGGCGGTGATAAGGCTTTTTTTCTTTCTCTCTTCGTAACAAGAGCAAGACACGAATAAATGCTCATTGTGAGATTTCTACAATGTAGCCACGTGTCAAACAAAAAGCAAAATCCTTCCCTCCCTCTCCCTGGGCTCTCTTGGTTATCACTTTGGTGTTACCGCTTGCGATTAGGACCAGCTTATCTATAACTACGCACACATATCTTTGCACTTTTTCAGTGCTTAAGGTGAAGACCTTGAAATTGAATTGCTGGGTCACAAGTACAAGGGACCATTTACAGTGTGGATAAGAGCTGCCCAACTGCCCTACTAAAAGGTTGTCTCCATGAACATAAAAATTCAAATGCCAGCCCCGGAGAACACCAACCCAATGGCTTCGCGAACTGCTCCACATCTTCCCTTCCACCTTGCAAGTCTTTCTCCCAACTGTCCCACTTCAGACAGCAGGTAACTGGGAAGCGTGTCCGCTGAGGGATAATCAGGGCAGCCTGCCTGACTGTGGCAGCCTGCCCAGACCCCCAGGGGCTTGCCGGACCCAGTTTCAAATGGCTCCACTCCCTCCTTTGGTGTTAACGTCCTCTAAACTCCAGAAATGCACATGCCGACCCCGGCGTCTGAAACATAGGGCACACAGTTGGCACCAGTACAGGCGTGCGGAAAGGCACACATTCAGCGGACATCTGGTGTTGGAAGTATCAGCGCCTGCGCTGAAGGCCGCTGACCAGTGTCGCGGGGGGTGCAGACGATGAACTGATGCTGCCCAGATCCCAGGTAAGCGCTTCCCAGAGGCCTGCTCTGTGGGCTAATAAAGCCCTGGGAGGCAGCCCCAGCTCGGCCACATTGGGGAACATGGGCATGGAGACCCGGGTGGGAATCTGGGTTCCCACGGACTACCACGTGCAGACGCTGAGGACAAAACAAAGGAGGGCAGGGTCCTTCCCGGCACATTAAAGGGGGTCAGTAATCAATAGTCAGGATACGTAAAGCTCCTACTGCGTGACCCCGCTGAGACTAGGCTTTGAAGGCACTCTAGAGAATTTTCAGTGTTTTCTTATCTCATTTTGTATCTCATTCTGTCTCATCACCTGGGAAGAGGACAGCAATGATTATCCCTAACTTTCCAATGAGAGAACAGAGACCTTCAAAGGAGGGGGATAAAGTGACCATAGACTCCCAGGGCAGGGCCCGTCCTTTGCCCGGTGAAAACTAAGGCCCGAGCAGGGAAAGTGGTTTGCCTGAGGTCCTACAGCAAGTCAGGGATAGCCTCTGGTCTCCCAAGCAGGGCTCCTGCACCACCCGTCTTCTAGAAAGAAGTAGATTCCAAACCTTCACCCTGCGGCTGCCCGACCAGGTGCGGCCAACACGCGTACGCCGCCCCCCCCCCCGCCCCCGCCACCGGACCATGGCTGCCACCACTGAGCCTCAGTGGCCATCTGTGCAATGGGCCCACCCGAGAGGGCTGGGATCCCGCCGAGGCAGGCGGCCAGGCGGGTGGGAGGGGCCGGCGCCGTGACTCAGCCAGGAGGGCGGGGAAGGGCTGCCCGGCCGGTCGGACCGGCCCGGGATGCAAACGAGCGGCCAGGGCCCGCCCGGGGCTGGGCCGCCCGGGGGGTGACGGGAAGGGAGGCCGGCCGGGCGCCGGCCAGCCCGGGCCCCAGACGCGGCGCGGGCGGCGCGGGCAGCGCGGGCGGCGGGCGGGCGCGGAGGCTGCGGACGGGGATGGGAGCGGGGCCCGGCGGCCGGCCGCTGCACCCGGAGCCCCGCTGAAGCGGCCGCGGAGCGCCGGCGCGGGAGCCGACATGTGTCTGCGCCTGGGTGAGCCGCGGCGGGACGGCCCGCGAGGCCCCCGCCGCCCCCCGCCGCCTTCTCCGCGGCGCACTTTCCGCTCCTGGCCTCAGTTTCCCCAGCGGTGAGGTGGCGGGAGGAGGGCTGCCGGTATCCCCTCGAGGTGGGGTAGCGCCTCCGCCCCCTCCCCCGCCCCCACTTTCCTTTCCGGCGGAGGAGGGATTCCCCCCGGGCGGGAGGGGAGTCGCTGGAGGGAGCGGCGCGCGCCGGGCGGGGAGGGAGAGCGGAGGGAGGGAGTCCCAGGGGCCCGGGGAGTTCGGGGCCAGAGGCTACCAGCCCTTTCGGCCGACCACCGGCCTTGCAAAAGGCTCCCCCCTCCAACCCTCCACTCCTCCAACCAGGCGGGGATAGAAGGGACTCTGGCAAACAGGATCCAGAGTGGGACTGGGTGTCCTCTCCCCTCACTCGCTGGGCACAGGGATGCTGCTCTTGGGCATTAGACAGACCTGGGGACTCCCCACTTTCTAGCCAAGAGGCCTCATGAACCTCAGTTTCCTCATCTGTAAAGTGGGGATGGTAGCACCACCTCCCAAGACTACTGTGGGAACGCAGTTAGCTCCTGACAGTGCAGTGCTCACCCCCGTGCCTACCGTATTGCTAAGTGCTCTAAGAATGCTAACTTAGACGGGAGAGGCCAGGACTGCCCCAGACTCTGTCCCGGCCCCAGGCACAGCCCCACGGTGGCCCTGTCCCTCCAGTTGACCAAGTCTTAGTCCTGGGATGTTGTTGTTCCCGAGCCCAGCCCTGAGCCAGGTGGCGTCTGGGCTGCCAGGCAGGTGGGTGGATGGGGTGAGGTGGGTCAGGCCCCTGGGACAAGCTTCCTGTTTGACTAGCAGTTAATCTTTGCGCCGCCATCCCAGTTCCACAGCGCCATCAAGCCATCACCTGCCGTCTGCTCTGAGACCCAGTCCTGCTCCAGAGGGTCCTGCAGGCCCCCAGCGGTTCAGAGACCAGCGGCACCAGCCCCTCCCCAGTTTATACACCACAGGGTCACCCAGAAGGGCTGTCTCAGTGGCCCCTATACTCCCTTCTCTCTAGCAACTGCTTCTTGGCACAGGGGCCCCAAGAATATCCACTCTAGTGATCCCTCCCTCCTTCCTTCCCCCCTCCCTCCCTCCTTCCCCCCTCCCTCCTTCCTTTCCCCCTCCCTCTTTCCTCCCTCCTTCCTTCCCCCCTCCTTCCTTCCCCCCTCCCTCCTTCCCCCTCCCTCCTTCCCTCCCTCCCTCCTTCCTTTCTCTTTCTTTCTTCCTTCCTTCCTTCCTTCCTTCCTTTCTTTCTTTCTTTCTTTCTTTCTTTCTTTCTTTNCTTTCTTTCTTTCTTTCTCTCACTCTCTCTCTCTCTCTCTCTCTCTCTCTCTCTCTCTCCCTCCCTCCCTTCCTGCTACAGGCTCCTTTATATGAAATAGGATCCAACCCCCTCTGTCACAGATGAGGAGACTGAGGCGTAGGAAGGGACTTCCTAGAGCTTAGTTTAGAGGCCTGGCCAGTCCCCCAGAGCTGGCTGGAATGAGGGGTTGACAGCACCAGGAGGCTACTAGATTCGTGTGTGTCCTCTGGGGCCAGGCCAGGACTCACAGGGGACGTTCCAAAGAGCAGATGTGGAACAGCCTGAGCTGCCCAAGCAGGAGAGTTCCCTCTTCGTGAGGTGTGCAGACAGGGGCTGGGTAGCCACTGGGCCACCCAGAATTTACAGACGAGTCTCTGGTGTTCTTTTGTCTCCAGCCTCCCCGACTCGCCCTGTCCCTGTCCAGTGCCCCAGTACCAAGAGCTTGCTTTTCCCAGCACCCCCAGGGTATGCCCCACCTACCTTCCCATCTGCCTCCTCCTGGGACTCTCCTCCAATGGGAGACAAGGGTTATTCTTCCCATTTCATTACTTTTTAAGTTATGTATTTATTTAGGTAATCTCTATACCCAATGTGGGGCTCGAACTCACGACCCCAAGTTTAAGAGTCATATGCTCTTTGGGCTGAACCAGCCAGGCATCCCTCTTCCCATTTTAAAGATGAGGAGATGGATACTCAGAGGCTTGTTTCTTGCCCCAAGTCAGTTCCACAGTTGTGAGTTGATTATCTACTACATACCAGGCTCTGCACACCAGACTGAATCCTGAGCAGGATCTGATCCTTGCCCAGTGAACTAGGGACTCCTTGGGGCCTAGACAGTGACTGTCAAACTCACCGTGGTACATTAGGGCCTGGCACAGAGCAGGCACTCTGAGTATTTGAGTAACAAACTCCTGAATGAATAAATCAGTGAATGGGGAGCTTAGTGGAAAGATTATGGACCTAGAGCTAGAGACCTAGGTGGCCCTGCCGCTCGTAACCTTGAGCACTAACGAGAACTCCTGCCCTTTATTAAGTACCACCTGTGTGCTTTTCCAGCCGCAGAGTCCCAAAGACTCTCATGAAGGTATTGTGAACCTCTTTTCCAAATGAGGCAACTGAGGCTCAGGGAGACACATCCGTGACCCCAAGCCATCCGGAAGGGGACTTAGAACCCAATGTCCTTTAGTCCTGTCGGGGCCTCGGTTCCCTCCTCTGCCCGAAAATGAGGCCCCCCCCCGCCGGTGGCCCTGACATGGCTGTGCCCCACAGGTGGCCTGAGTGTGGGTGACTTCCGGAAGGTGCTGATGAAGACAGGGCTGGTGCTGGTAGTGCTGGGCCACGGGAGTTTCATTGCAGCAGCTCTGCTGCACGGCACCGTGCTGCGCTACGTGGCTACCCCGCACGACGCAGTGGCTCTGCAGTACTGCGTGGTCAACATCCTCTCTGTCACGTCTGCCATCGTGGTATGGCCAGGCTGGGAGCGGGACTGGCGAGAGGGAGCTGGAGGGGGGTTGGGGTGGGCAAGGGGGGAGCCCCAAGCGCTAGCCTCCCTGCCACTTTCCAACTGCATAAGTCAACCTCTCCCTGCCTCAGCGGCCTTGTCCATTACATGGGGACGGTAACGGTGTCCACCCCAGGGGGTCCCGGGGAGTATGAATGAGATCATCCATGTAAAGTGCTTGTCGCGGTACCCAGCACACGGTTAGTGCCCACACCTGCGAGCTAGCATTATTATTACAATAGGGAAGTGATCGGGGCAGTGCTGGACAAAAGGAAGGAGCATCAGCTGAGCTTGGGAGGGTCCAGGAGTGTTCACAGAGGTGGAGGCCGCTGAGCTGGATATTGATGGATGAGTAGGAGTTCAGAGATAGGCTGCAATTACCATAGCCTCACGTAGGAGGCATGCCGGGGCCAGCAAGTAGGAGAGGAAGCTGGAATGACATTCCAAATACAGAGAATGGCAGATGCAAAGGTGTGGAGGTGGGAATGGCTAAGATCTATTCTGGGGACACCGAAAAAACAAAATTGGCAGGAACTTAGCATTAGGCATCGTCTATAGCAGGAGCTCAATTAATGGTGGCCATGGTTATGAGTAGATGTCAATAGCTGTTGGAGGAATCCATGAATGCAGGGCCTGGTGTTCCGAAGGTCATAAAGCTCTTTCCCACCTTTGGGCAACATCCACACACCGCAGTCTTGAGTTCCATCTCTGCCGCCTCCTGGTTGAGGGACTTCTTTCTCTCTCTGAGCCTAGTCTCTCCTCTCCAAAGTGAAGCTCGAACAGCCTCCTGGTCCCACGGCTGAGGTGAATGAAGATCATAGGCCCCAGCAAGCAGGAGAAGCCTCAGCTGGTGGAACAGGGCTGGGCTGTGCAGATATGCACGGGGCTCCCTGGGGTTACTCCTAGGGTTTGTTCTTCCCCCCAGCCTTGTGAGGACCGCAAGGAGAGCGTGAGCTCAGGGTTAAGGGGTCCACCAGGGATGGGCTCTGGGCGGGCCCCCTTCAGCTCTGCCCTCGTTTCCTCAGCTAATCCTCACTGCTTCTGGCACCATGGGGCATCTGCTGGCCCCGCTTTCCAGAGGGGGAAACCGACACTGAGGATTCGCCCAACCTCCGGCTGACACACAGAAGCCAAGCAGGAGCTGAGACCATTTGTGTCTGACACCAAAGCTAGCGTCTTTTCTGTGAGCTCATCCTGCAGACTGAGGCTTAGCCCAGAGAGCTGGGGGCACTTACTTGTGGCTGCTCAGTGAATTAAAGCCAATGCTGGATCGCCATCAGACAGCCTGCCCGTGGAATTCTACTCCATGAAACTTTCTGACTTGCTAAAATACAATCTTGTGTTCAGTTCCTTGCCAGTTGAGTTGACTTAGTTTCCCCCCCAAATCTTTTCCACCCCAGGGAGACATGCCATATATATCCTGTGGCATGCCCCTGCAGGCCTGGGCTACACAGGTCCCTGTTTGAGATAAACAACTATAGGCAGTGGGGAGTCACGGAAGGATGTAGGCAGGGAGTTACCGGACATTAGAAACATCTCTTCAGGGCTGGACCGTGAGGAGGCAGTGCCTCTGTGCCAGTGGAGGTAGTGAGGCCAAAGCTGAGCTGGGATGAGGGTCTGGGGGCTTGGAGGGCTAGAGTTGGCATTGGTGGAATCGTTGTCCGAGGGTGCCCCTCACCCCTGCCTGCTCTCCTTCCCCGCAGGTCATCACCTCGGGCATTGCAGCCATTGTGTTGTCACGCTACCTCCCCAACATCCCCCTGGTACGTGGCTCCTCCTGGGAGGGGCTGGAGGGGTAGGCTAGGGGCAGCGGCCACCTCGAGGGGTCTAGCCTGCCCGGAGGGAAGGAGGCTGACCCCATGGGGCCAAGCCTGACGTCCATTGACCTGTGGCCTCCCCCATCCAGCGCTGGACAGTGTTTAGCTCGAGCGTGGCCTGTGCCCTTCTCTCTCTGACCTGTGCCCTGGGCCTCCTGGCCTCGATCGCCGTGACCTTTGCCACCCAAGGCCGGGCACTGCTGGCTGCCTGCACTTTCGGAAGCCCCGAACTGCTGGTACTGGTGCCCGACTGTCCCTTCGACCCCACACGCATTTACGTGAGTGCTGAGGCCTGGACTGCAGTGGGGGAGCAGGGCAGGGCTGGGGGAGTGGGGAGGGATGAGTGGTGACACCCAGGTGCTCATCAGACATGGGAAGGGTCCTTGGACACCCACTCTCCCTCCCGCTCCTTGTGCACCCCGCAGAGCTCCAGCCTGTGCCTCTGGGGCATCGCGCTAGTGCTCTGCGTGGCAGAGAGCGTGTTTGCGGTGCGCTGCGCCCAGCTCGCCCACCAGCTGCTGGAACTGAGGCCCTGGTGGGGGAAAAGCAGCCACCACATGGTAAGGCCCCCTCCATCCGCCCTGGCCCTGACTCCGCATATTTCCTGGGAGCCCTTGCAGGGAAGCCCAAGCTGGTCTGCCCTTACCCCTCTGCGTGGGGCCCCTGCCTTGAGAACTGGGGCAACAGTGTTTTCCCCGGGATGAAAGGGAGGAGCTCCCAGCTAGGTCACACAGCTGAAACCTGGCTTCCCAAGGCCCAGGATGAGCCCTGAGTGAGAGGGAGCGGGCTCAAGCTGGGGGCGCTCCAGGGCACTCCGTGGGTATGGTCTGGCTCTTGCACGGGAGGGGGTAGTGAGGCTCCTTTGCCCTAGAGATCCTCCCAGCCCCCCCCCGCCCCCTCCCTCCCCGAGGTGTCCTGTAGGAGCAGACCCAGTCCCTGGCACCCTCTTGTGTCTGCAGATGCAGGAGAGCCCAGAGCCTGTGGAGGGTCGTGACCTGCTGAGCTGCGCCAGCTCTGAGCCGCTGACCCTCTGAGAGCTGATGCCCCATCCAGGCCCCGTGACCGCTGGGGCCCCCGCAACCAAGTCTGCACTGTGACCAGAGGTTTCACTGGTCACTCAGGGACCCGGGTGGGGCTTCCGACCCCCTCCCTCAGCTACCCAGCCCACTGCACTGAAATGAGACTTTATTCTGAAGTTATTAAAAAGAACAGAGATGTTCCACGTGGATGCATGCAGCAGGGGAGGGGACTCGGCCAGGGGGCCTGTGCTTCTTTCCCACACAGGATGCTGGGGCTGGGGCTCTGGATGTGTCTGTCCATCCGCGGGCCTGTGTGTGTGTGTGTGTGTCTCAGAGAGGAAAAATCTACAGAGGGATCGGTGGGTCTGTGTTCATCCGAGTGCTGGAAGGCAGGTGGAGGTTCCTGGGACCCACAGCTGGGAGGCTGGAAGAGGGGTAGGGGGTTCCTTTTGCATCCTGGCCTCCAGGCCTACAAGCGCTGGGGAGCAGGAAGGGTTGAGGCCCTCCTGCAGGAAAGGACGACTCAAGGAGGCTTTTCCCTCAACCCCCCACACCTCCGGAATCCTTCCTCCTATCCAAATGAAGACAGCCTCCTCACCTGGGCAGGATTCCGCCCTGCACCCAGGCTGAGAGCTACTAGGGCGGGGTGGGGGTGGGGTAGCTTGCCCGGTGGTTGGGGGAGGAGCTGGAGGCTGCGTGTGAGTCGGGGGGCGGGTGGGGGGCGGGGGAAAACGGCTGAAGTTCCGTCTGGGTAAGGGGGGAGGGGGCAGACCCAGCCAGAGCCTGCGTCTCATCCTTGCCTAAGGGAGGTGCTGCCTTTTGGACTGAGGGTGCTAACCGCTTGCTTGCTGCAGGGTTGCCTTCTCCAGAGACCCCAGAGTGCAGGCCCTGGGGTGGATGGGTGCCCAGCCTGACCCCCAGCCTGGATAGACACAAGGAGAGGAAGCCGAGAGCCGGGAGAGGGCCAGTGAAGGCAGGGAGGAGGGGGAACCTGGGTCCTCTCGCTCAGAACTGGGAGGCGCTGCTGGGGTCGCACTGCAGCAGACGCACGATGGACGGGTCGCTTTTGGCCCCGCGGATGAACTCCTCCAGGGACAGCTTGCCTGCGGGGCGAGGGGAGCAGTGATGCTGGAGGAGGCGGCCGCGCAGCGAGGGGAGGCCGAGTGGAGCCGCAGAAGAGGAAGGGGGAGTGGCACCCGCCCCGCCCCATCCCTGCCCCCTCACCGTCGTTGTTTGTGTCCATTTGGCGGAAGATTTTCTCGGTCCTCTTTTCTGGGGTCGACTCGTCCTCCGGCATCTTCATCACGGACGAAACCATCTTGTAAATGGCCTGAGGGGCGGGAGGGGGAGGCAGAGAGTGAGAGGAGCCTGCCCGAACCCCGAACCCCCACCATCCAAAACCGCATCTACGCACACAGAAAATTGCTGCTCCCGCCTGGGTGAGGTGGAGAGGTGGTCACGGAGGCGTGGGGGAAGGGGGAGGGGGATTAATTTAGGAAGGAGTGTCTGGAGAGGCTTCCCAGAAGAGGGGGCCACTGGAGCGGGCCCTGTCCAAGTTCCCTTGGAGCGCCAGGTGGGAAAGGCATTGCTGGCAGAGCAATCCGCACGTACAAAGGACCTGCAGCAGGAAGCTGAGTGGGCGCCGAGAACTTGGGGGTGGCCGAGTGCAGTGGGCCAGGAGAGAGGTTGGAGGATATCAGGACCCAGATAGCGAAGGGGCTAGAACATGGGGCTTAGGAGCTGGTGCGGGGCACTACAGGCTCCAGGGTGAGTACCGGCTTAGCGCTGCTTTTCTAAAACTTCGGGGCCCTGGGCGACCAGCGCCCAGTGGCCTACAGGGGGCGCTGGGCGGAGGGGACATTGGGCTGCTCTGTCTCGATGGCCGGCAGGGGGCGCAGAGCCGCACTAAGGGCTGGAAGGCCTGAGGCTGCAGGGCCCAGAGAGGGCGGGGGCATTATGCAAATAAACGCAAATGAGCAGCTGCCAGAGGCGGGGACAGCATGCGCTCAGTTGTGCCCAGAACTGCAGCTGCCACGTGCAGGATCTCTGGAGGCAACACGAGGTAGGATATTTGTGCTAAATGTACACAGAGCACGTAGGGCTTGGCCTGTGGGCTAGGCTGGGTCCTGGCGCCTCGGAACTGAAGGATCAGGCCCATCGTCCCAATGTTACAGCTTTTTGCTACTGACACCTCTGCCAAGAAGCCTTCCTTCTCCCCCATCCCATAAACTCCCCTTGCCTTAGATCCATCTCCAGCCTCCGTACTGGTCTTTTCTGGCCTCTTTCCCTGGCATCTGGCCCCCACGCTGCCTCTGAACGCTTTCCAAACACAGATCGCCACCACCACGTCCCCAACCCAGTGGGCCGCCGCCTCGTTTCCATCACACACAGGCTTCCCTCCAGGCCCACCGTGCACCCAGCTCCTTCTGGATGCTGCCCCACGCTCCTTCTGCTGCCTCCCACTCTTCCTTGGGACTCAACTTACATAGCGCTTTCTTAGGGAGGCCTTCTTTGATCCTGCCTGGGTCAAGGCCCATATGCTGGCCCAGAGCCTCCCGGGCTTTTCCTTTGGGGACACCTCTCTGGAAGGAATTTTGTAGGATTGCTCCTGGTCTCCAGCATACAGCTAAAGATCATGGACATCTAGCTAGTACCCATAACCTCAGAACTTAGCATAGCGCCTGGCCTGTGGCAGGGACTCCACTGCTTAAAAGCCTTTGGCACCTCCCACTGCTCTCTGTACCAAGTCCAAACCATTCAGCCGGGCACTCAAGGTACTTCGCACTCTGGTCCCCGCTGACCTCTCCATCATCAGGCCTCCCCTGGTGGGTGACCCTGCCACAACCAACCCCTCCGTGCCTTTCAAGTTTCCCAGAATATACAGCCTCTTCCCGGAATAATAGTACCAGCTACCACTTATCAGGTACCTGCTGTGTGCTAGGTGCTTTACATGTATTATTTCTTAACCTCACAACAGTCCTGAAAAGCTGGTATCATGATCCCCATTTTCCAGATAAGAAATGGAGGCTTGGAAAGCGAATTGATGGCGGAGACTGAATTAGAATCCGCTCCTTCATAGTTGCTGGATAGATGCTTGTGGGATGCAGCAGAGACTTTGAAGTAAAGAGACCCAGAGTGGCATCCTGGTAATCACCTTATGTGTATATGTATCTGTGAACCTCAGTTTCCTCACGTCTCCCTCAATAGGATTGTCTAGACAATTGAATGAGACAGTGTTGTAGTTAGAATAGTAGCTGGCTGGAGTAAGTGGTCAGTAAACAGCAGCGTGTAATATAATCATTACTCATCCACCACATCCTCGGGCCTTCCCTGCCTTTCAGTCCCCTAGACTCCAGATGCCACATTTAGCAAGTCAGTGTGGGCTGCACACTTGTTCTCTCCCACCAGAGCCGAAGCCCCAAGAGGCCAAAATGCCGTATTTTCCCTTGCAGTGTGCCCACCACCTTACCACACGATTGGATCCTGAGAAGGATGCCCGAGTGACTTAGAGAGTGACTGCTCCCCTCGTGACAGCCCTCTCCTGGGTCTCCCAATTAATTGTCTGGAATTGCTGTGCACTCATTGTTTCATTGGAGCCGACTTGTAATTAATCAGTCACTGGGGTTTGCAGAGCTCCCTCTGCACTGGCCGTCTTGGGCTGCCCCGCTGCCATAAAGGAAATCAGGGCCCAGGTAGCAGAGGCCAGCCAGGCAGGGGGCCTGGAGGAGGCCCAAGGAATGAGGCTGGGCATGACGGATGTCTGGGTTTGGTGCCCCCAACGGAGTTGAGATTTACCAGTATAGAGCAGTGTAACCGCACGAACTGGTAAAACGTGAACATCTCTCATATTGGTTGGTATCCAGGTGCTGTTCAATCCCTGAGTGATTTTCCCATCACCCTGATGGCCCCAGCCCTTCCACCAGGACCCCCAGAACTTTCCTCTGTCCATCAGCTGGAGAGTTCATGCCTGGCCCACGGGAGTCACAAACATTAAGGTTTGACCCCTAGCAATCGACACAGGGGGAGCAGCGCATCCCAAAGCAGCCATTCGGGTCTAGCTCAAGAGAGCACACCCCAATGCTTAGCAAGAGAGAAGCCAAAGCAAGAATCCAGTAGGGGCTGGAGGCAATGGATGGGGAAGCAGCAGAGCTGAGGAGCCAGAGGGAAGGGATTCAGAGAGGCAAAAAGAAAGGGAGCAAGAGCTTGTGCAAAGCTGTACAGTGGAATTACTCAGGGCATATCCTAAGGATGTTGAAAAGGCCACTCTGGCTAGTGCAGAGAATGTGCAGAGAAGAGAATAGTAATGGACAGCATCTAACATTTGCCAAGTAGCAGTCATATGGAGAACTCTCTTCTCTCTTGACAGAGCCCCTGTCCCCCTTTATACCTGTAATAACCTGGTGACGTAGAGGGCTAACACCTCACTATATGGGTGAAGAAATACAGGCTCAGGCAAAAAGTGAAGTAGGAACTGGCTAAGTAGACTAGAACCAGAGCCCTGATGGACTTCAGTGCTGGGCCGAGGGCATATGGACTCTGGAAGGTTGTTGTAGAGCCAACATGTGTTACACTTAAACTTGTAGTAGGAAAGAGCATGGACATCAGGTCCTTAAATCTCCCTGTGAGGTTAGTATCACCATCCCCATTTTACAAATGGGAAACCTAAGAATTGAAGCCAACTCCCAAACTGGAAGCCAGCTCCCTTTCTAGGGGCAGCTCTGAGTGGTGGCCAGCTTGAACTTGATGCCACTTACATGCTATGTGACCTTGAGCAAGTCACTTCACCTCTCTGAGCCTCATGGGGTTATTGTAAGGATGTACTGGCTCATGGATATAAACATCTCATTTGTACTAGGTTCTTAATGGACCTTCAGTCAGTTGAAAGGTGGCTGGGTGTCCACATGGAAAGTGGATGGTGGACCCAGCTGGTCCACTTACAGGCTCTGTGGCTTTGGGCCAATGTCTTCACCTGAGCATCCATTTTCTCCTGAGTAAATGAGGATCAATAAAACATAACTGGCCTGTACTGTGAAGAAATGCCAAGTTTTGAAAGACAAAGGCTGAGGAACTGTTACAGATTACAGGAAGCTAAAGAGACACAACAATTAAATGCAATGTGTGATCCTAGACCTGGGTAAAAAATGCCATACGGAACATTTCGAGAGACAGTTGACAAAACTGGAATATGGTCTGTAAGTTAGATAATAGCATTGTTTCTACATAAATGTCCTGACTTTGATAATCATATTATGGGTTATGTAAGAGTATGTTCCTGTTCTTAGGAAATACATCCTGATGTATTTGGGGGGTAGAGGGTGACGTTCAGAACAACAGCAAAGCACTACACACACAGCGCTCTCACACCCATGATGGTAAAGCAAATATGGCAAAAGTTAATTGGTGAATCTGGGTAAGGGATATATGAGAGTTTTCTTAACTTTTCTTTAAATTGGAAATCAGTTCCTCATAGTTTTTTAAATGAATCACAAGAGTAGCACCCGCCACTACCTAGCCACAAGGGCTGTGGAGAGGACAAAAAAGAATGGTGGGTGCCCTCTGCTGGGCCCTGCACCTGGCATTCTGAGGGGTCCAGGGGCCCACCTGCACAATCTCGAGCATCTCCTCGCGGCTGATGTAGCCGTTGCCATCCAGGTCATACATGCTGAAGGCCCACATGAGCTTCTGCTCCAGGCGGCCACGTGAGGTCACGCTCAGCGCAATGATGAACTCCCGGAAGTCAATGGTGCCATCGCTGTTGGTGTCAAAGGTGCGGAAGACATGCTCGGCAAATTTGGAGGCATCGCCGTAGGGGAAGAAGTTGGCGTAGATCTTCTTGAACTCATCCACGTTGAGGATGCCTGTGGGGCAGTCCTTGAGGAAGCCCTTGTACCACTCCTGCAGCTCCAGCTCCGAGAACTCCGTGTTCTCCCGCAGGTCCTGAAGCATCTCCGGCCGCAGCTTGCTGTTCTGCTTGCCCATGGCCACCAAGCCAAGTCCCACCTGAATCCCCGAGGGGGTCAAGGGGAGAGAGGGAATGGTCAGGCCTTCTTGGCCCCTTGACACCACTCCAGGAAGCCCCCGCCCCCAGACACCGGCCACCCCCAGTCTCTCATTTGACCCAATGAAAGAGAGGAGCTGACTCAAGGTCAACAGCCCGTACCCAGGCATCCTGCCTCTGTGTCGTGCTCCAGACCATTTCCCAGGACCTTGCAGTTTCCCAGGGAACAGACCAGGAGACGGAGGAAGGGAAGGGGGCTCACATTTACCGAGAGCCTTCTCAGTGCCAGCCACTGGGCTGGTGAATACCATTTCATGCTCACAAAGTGAAGTCCAGGGATTAGCCCCACTTTACAGATGAGGAGGCAGGCTCAAGGAAGTGAGGTGACCTGGTTCAGGTTGCACAGCCCTGGAGTGACAAGGGTGACTCCCGGGGCTGCCCAGGGAGATGCAAAAAGGCCTTCTGGTCCTCTTCCCTCCTGCTTCTTCATTGCCTCACGTATGCTTCTCATTACAAAATACGCCTGCAACCTGGACACTGACCTGTTCTCTTTCCACACGTGTATGCCTGACAAAGGCCAGCATAAAGTAGATGTTAACCGAGGCTCCAGAGCCAGACCACCCGGGTTTGAATCTCAGATCTGCCTCTTACTACCTACGTGACCTTAGACGAGTTCCTTATACTCTCTCTGCCTCATCTGTAAAATGAGGGTGATAGTACCTACCACATTCTTATGGGGATTAAATTAGTTAATACATGTGAAGCCCTTAGAATGGTGCCTACACATACATGTGCTACATAAGTGTCAAATAAAAATGTTTTATATGTACCCAGATGCCACAAGACTCGTGCATAACAACATACAAATGAATAGACACTGACACATATTAATGCTATATAGCTCACCAAATCCACACACGGGCTCCCGTGCCACTCACATACCACCGTGGGTCACCATGCCTCCACACAACGTTCCCTCTGCTCCACAACTCACATGTACTGACACACGGCACCACTCATGATCAGCTCCCATACCCTGTGCATCAAGACACCAGCCCACGACCCCACATGTCTCACAAATGCCATCACAAGCCAACTCCCATACCGACACCTCTCACATGGCCAGCGGCACGTGGGACCCTCAGGCAGCAGCCTTGCCATCTTTCTTTTCCCAGGGGTGCTTGCAGGTCCCAGGAGAGGGAGCTGCGACCCTTCTCAGACATACTAGGGGCCTCTTTTCCAGTAAGAGCCCTGGCCAGCCAACCTCCTCCCGATACTTACCTTTCACATAGTCCGGAAAGAAGCCCTCAGTGAAGGAGGTTAGGGTGTGGAGGACTGAGGGGAAGGCAATGGAGAGGAGACAGCCAGGCAGTGCCAGGCAAGAGTGTAGGGGTGTATGCAGGTGAATCCCTCCCCCCCAGCCTAGAGCTGTGAGTGAGACAGGGTGAGGATGTTCCTTGTGTGTGCATTTGCACATAGCTCTGTGCACATTTGGATGAACATGTGTGTGAGTGCTTGTGTTCATGTATGCACATATGTCTCTGGTTTCTGCATGGCATTTGACTCCCGTGGGTTTCAGTAGATATGTGTGCATGTGACTAGGTACGCACCCATCACAGTATGAGGGGGATGTGCCTGAGTGGCCATTTAGGGGACTTGTGTGTGTCCTCAGCAGTGTGTCACATGCATGTTTTTGCAAGTTGGTGACCCTCCATTCTAAAGCAGCCTTTTCTGCCCCAGACTGAGGACCCAATGAACAAGTGTGTGGGAGGGGACGGAGGAAATGCGTGGGGCTGGGGCGGAGAAGTGTGTCCCTTAGTCCCCTCCTCAAGGTCCACGGAACTGGGTCATCGGGGCGGGGGCAGAGAGATGCGCTGGGCAGGAGAGATCTTCCAGAGCCCCCCTCCTCCCTGCCACCCTCAGAACTGCCCCTCCCAATCGGAAGACTTGGAAACGAGGGTGGTAGAAGGTTCTGTTGTCTCCGCAAGACCCCGAGTCCCCCGAATGGAAAAGACCCCCAGCTCGACCTGAGAAACTCGCCCCGGGGACCTTCTCCAAACCTCTCCCTAGCTCTCGCCCTGAGCCCACGCTTCAGAGCGCTGGGCGCGGGGCCCCTCCTGGAGGGGGCGCTCCGAGGCGGCCGGAACGCGACTCCTCCCCGCTGGCCACTCGGCGGTCAGGACCCTGGAGAGCGCCGGGCTCTTCCCCTGGGGAGCCCCTTCTTCCCAGCGCCCTCGGAAGGAGGCTCCCCAGGGGGCGCGGGAGCGGCGGGGTTGGAGAGGCTGGACGGGGCCCCCTCCCTCCGGGTTGCCCCCTCCCCGCATCCCCCAGCCCCGGCCGGAGCGGCCCCCACTCACCCAGCGATGCGGAGACACCGACTGCGCAGGGAAGGCGGCGCTGCTGCGGCGCGCGGCGGCAGAGGCGGCCGGAGGGGCGGGCGGGGGGCGGGGGGAGGGACTGCCAGGGAGACGCCCCGCGGCGTTGGCCCGGAGCCCTTCCCCTGGGGGGGGGGGTCCCTGTTCCTCCCCTTCCCCTCCAACCCCGGGGCGGGGGGAAGCGGTGCTCTAGGCTCCGCCCCCGCCCCTGCCCGGGAGAGGGAAGGGGACGCCCTCACTTCCCCGGCCCCCTCACTAGGGAGCGCCCGCCGGGGGAGGAGGACAGAGGTCTCCAATCTCCTCAGCATCTCGACTCAGGTAGCCCGAATGGGGTCGGGGGCGGGGTGTCAGTGCCCAGAGACGTCTTTCCGAGCCAGGGACAACCCCGGCCTCTCCACCCTCAAGCCTACCTGGGCGCGAAGCCGCACGTCGCTCCGCGGGCAGAATCCGGGGCGGTTCGATAGGCGCCCTCCCAGCCACCACGCCTCAACTCGCGAGCTAACAGAGCTGGGGGCTCTTCCGCGAGGGGGCAGCTCCCACTTCTCCCGTCCGGGAGGTCTGGTGGGGGCAGACACGCCCCCTACCCACCTCGGCCTTAGAGAGCCCCGCCCCCATCTCCTGCCCACCGCCCGGGATCTCACCCCCGCCCCGACCCCTCTCAGAATGAACCTCACCTCCCAACATGGATCTAAACTGCTCCTCCCATACCCTCCCTCCGTGCCCGGCCTCTGCCTGTGCAAGATGGTCCTATGTGAGAACTGGGGTGCATTTCCAGTCTGAGGGGGTTTTGAAGTGCTGAGGGACCTTACCTCAGACAGGACAGCCCTTTGCCCGAGTCGCTGACCCCCATGACAGCTCCTCCTGCCAGGATGGGGGCTGCATCCTCCTTCAGCCAGGTCTGCAACAATCCCACATCCTGGGATTGAATTTTGTCCTTTATCTCTATGAGGTGGGCCTTATTAATGTCCCCTCTTCACAAATGAGCAGCCGGAGGTTCAGAGGGGTTAAATGATTTTTCCCATGTCTCACAGCTGGTGAGTGGAAAGCTTGGACTTGAATCCATATGCCTTCATCCTTTCATGGCACAAATATTCATCAAGCGCTATTTCTGTGCCCAGCATTGTTCTAGGCATTGGGGTTACAGAAGTGGGCAGTAAACCGTGGACAAAATATACAAGTCAACTCTGTGATGTATTAGATGAGTATTTTAGGAACAACTGAGATCGGCGTTCAGAGGTTGGGATGGTGGCAAGTGCTTAAGACCATTCCAAGGATTGTAGATTTTATTCCAGGTGAGATGGGGTGCTCTAGATTGGGGCCTTGAGCATAGTGAGGGTATGACTTTCAGGTTAAGCTTACTCCGGCATTCTGTCAAGAACAGACTTGAGGAAAGGGGGCCAGGGGGGAAGAAGGGGGCCATTTCAGGATGAGAGAGGGATGAGTCTGGTTACTTTGAAGGTGAGCTGACAGCATCTGCCTTCCGACTGGACAGCTCCTCCTAGTTCGGTGGCAGCTAGGAGGCCCCTGGCTCTCCAGGGCTCAGATCAAGCTCTACCTCCAGGTCCCCGACCAGGCTGCTCAAGTGGTCAAAGTCTAGTCTTAGTCCTTCCTGCTTGAGGATAGGGAGGTCTCAACTGGAGGAGCTGGGGAGCCAGGCGGGGGTGGGGGGTTGGACATGTGGGCCCTCTAGAACATCAGTTCCTCCGTGTGCCTTGGCTCTGGTGTTGAGACCCCCAGTGGAGGCGTGAGAGATGCCAGACACCCGTGGGTGGTTCCCAGCTGCCTCCTGTGTGAGGCCTTGGGGGCAGGGAGAGACTTGCTGCTCAGCCTCTACCCCAGGCCCCTGGAGTGACAAGCTTCTTCCATCGTCCCCACTAGGCTTGGCGAGCCTGCCCTGTTTGCTAGATGAAGGCACTGCCCAGCACTCACTGCCTGGGCCTCTCCTCCCAGTCCTCCTCCTTCCTCTCTCTCTGCCTGGAGCCGGAGAATCTTCCCAGCCCGCTCTGGATCCTCCTCTCCATCCTTGGGGGTGGCGGGTCGCAGTTTACCCTCACAGGGTGCTGCCCAGCCACTATCTCTGCTTCCTCCCACTACCCCGTGCCAGCTTGACCTCCTACAGGCTGATTTCTTGGCTTAGCCCCTCTGGGGCCTTCTTCTAGTCCCACTGTTTCTCTTCCCTGTGAGGGTAACTCTGATGCCCCGCCCTCGGGGGCCCCCAGTCTGAATTCTGTCTCACCAGTAGTTGGGGCTTCTGGAAGCTTCACCTCCTTTTGACGTTCCCTGTACGTGGAATGAGTGAGGTAGGTCTGGGGGCAGAGTTTAGACCCTGCTAGGCTCTGTACTACTTCCCATCAGCCACCTCTCCCCTCTTGGGGGCCTAAAAAGCATTGGGAAGCCCCCCCCGCCCCGAGCCAAAGAGGAAGGCTTGGGGGCCCCTACACTGTACACCAAGGCCCAAGACCTAATGGCCTGAGATATAACCCAGAAAAGGGGGCCGGATGGGCAGCTGGCAGGAAGCCTGCCTGGGTCCCTCGCTTCTGGGTAACCTGGAGCAAGTCTTTTCCCCTTTTGGAACAGAAAGCCTAGACAAGTGACCTGGGTCCCTTGACACCCCCTGTCAAACCCCCTCACCGAGTACGTACGAGACATGCCTCATTTGCTGCCTCACTGTCTCCTCAGGCCTGAAATTCTGCACATGAGCATAGTAGGCAGGAGGCCCCAGTGGCCCTAGAAGCGTGCAGATTTGAAGGGCTCTATGAAAACCTGTTGTAGGGGTGAGGAAGGGGTGTCCTTGCTGATGATACTCATCCCCCTCCCACCCCAGACTGAGGCATCGAGGAGGGGGGGAGAAGCACTGCTTAGGGTAGATGTTGAGTGAGGGGTGAGCAGGACCCACAGGCATAGAAGAAAGAGCAAGTCTCACCGGAGGGGGTGTCCTCAGGGTCTGAGGAGTGGGGCTGGGGTACAGAAACCAGAGGTGGCTGCCCTCCTCCAGCACTAAAGAGGGATGCCAGAGAGAGAAGCAAGTGGGGAGGTGAATGGAGAAGGGACTGCATATCTCTTGAGCACCTGTTGTATGCAAGGTACTTTGCAGGTATCCGTCACCTCCTTTGATCTGAACTAATCCTGAGGAGTCAATAATGTTACTGCCATTTCACAGATGTGGAGACTGAGGCTCAGAGAAGTGAGGCCACATGCTGGAGGGAATACAGCAAGAAAGTAACAATGCCGGAATTTGAACCCAATTCCATGTGACTCAGGAGCCCAGGCTCCCCTCTGGAAGTCTCTCAGTGAGGTAGGTGGACGCAGCCCCTCCCCAGCCCCCTCAGAGGCGCAGCCCCCACCCTCCCCTCTTAGGTCCCAAATGGTTTGGAAAATCCTGATGGGAGCAGATGGTGGGGACAGATGGAGGGAAAAGCATCTCAAGGCTGAATTACACAAACAAACATTGATAAAGTGATTAAACCTCAAGCCACCCCTTTCCAAAGGGCCTTGCCCACCCCAGCCGGGAGCACCGTGGACCCAGAGATGGGGGTCTGAGGGCCTCCGCGGAGGCCCCAGTCTTAGCCCAACTGATCCCTGCTTCTGCCCACCCCTCCCACCGCCAGGGACCACCCCGGGACCAGAGCCCAGGGCCGTAGAGCTGCCAAGAGCACAGCCCGGGAAGGGGAGGGGGCGGGCCTGGCTGTTCCCAAGGGAGCTGGGCCCCGAGGGACACAATGGGGATGGTGGGGGTGTTGGGAAAGTCCTGCAAGCTGGGCCTGCAAAACTGAGATCAGACTGTGGTGGCATCCCTCCAGCAAGCTTCACTTTACAGAGAGCTGCTGGACCACATCACACAGCAGCCTTAGCCTGACCCGCCCTCCCCACCCCCACCGTGGAGGGGGCAAGGCCCTTCACCTCCTGAAGGTTCGAGTGGTTCCTTCATCTATAAAACGGCAAGGATGATTTTAATGCCTCCCTGAAGGGCCTTTGTGAGGATTAAGTGAGAGGAAGTTTGTAGAGTTTGGGACCCTGGGCCTGCACCCAGTCAGTGCTGTGTCAGCTCCAGCGAGAGTTAACAGGGCCTCGCTGGGGTGGGGGCATCAGGAAGGTGGGGGTTGGTTGAAGATGGTCCCTCTACCGAGCAGGAGTTTGGGCTTAAAGATCCCACCTGCAGAGTCCCTGAGGTTCCTGGGCTCCGCAGTGGCAGGGTGCCCATGGTGCCCCCAAGAAAAGCACCAACTCCTGGGTAAGATTCATTATATTCGTGCCCCACTTGCTCCAGGGTAAGAGCAGCTGAGGAGCTCAGGGGTGGCTCTGTCAGTTAAGTATCTGACTCTTGATTGACAGTCGTGAGATCAAGTCCCGTTGGATTCCACTCGAGGAGGGTTCTGTGCTAGGTGGGTTCTGCACTAGACTTGGAGCCTACCTAAGATTCCCTCTCCCTCTCTCTCTCTCTCTGCCCCTTCCCATTCCTGTGAGCATTCTCTCTCTCTGTCTCTCAAGAAAAAAAAAAAAAAAAAAGAGCAGCTGATCTCTCTGCCAAGGTCAGAATCCAGGACCCAAAGGGAAACAGAAAGGGGCTGCACCTCTGCTGGTCCCTCAGTGTGAACCTACAGACATTGCAGGGAAACAGACGCGCATTCACATCTTGTTATGGCCCCTTCCCAGCTTTGGGAAAGTGGACAAAAACAGCCCCACTGACCTCGGCTTCTTCCCAGGAAAGCCTGTATTTCCAGCCCGCAGACACCTCAGACTGCAGCCAGCCAGCACTGGCTTGTGGCCGTCCACCCAGCCTGCCCACGCCTGGGTCCCCTCCAGGATCCCCTCCCTCCTCCTCATCCCACGCTTCCTTCCCAAGCCAGAGTTCAACCAAAGCATGCCTCTCAGGCTTGCCCTGTCCTCCCCCCCTGCCCGTCCCCCCACTCCCTCCTCTGATGGCCCTGTATTATACCTGGTCCTCACCTAGCTCCCCAGCATTTGGTTTCTCCGCATCTAATCTCCTTCCTCCCTGCTTAATAACCTTCCATGGCTCCCCACCGCCTACTAGAGTAGGTGCGTGTTGGAGACATTCCCTGATACACCCAACCCTTGCCTTCCACCTCAGCTCCTACCTTCCACCTTCCTCTGAAAACTCCCCCAAGGCCCATCACCTCCTCTACAGATGGCTAGGATCTCCCCTAAGCTGAAGAAGGGATCTGGAGTCAAAGCTGAGGGAAGGGGGCTCCCTGACGCCCATCTCCCTGCATGTAGGTTTTAACTTAGGCTGGGGTGGGGTAAAGTGAGGCCGGTAGGTGAGGTCACATCCCAGCCACCCCTTGTCTGCACAATATTTCCTCTTCCCTCTGCTGGTGAAAGCAACTCTTAGCTGGAAGCGCCTCAGGCTCAATGGCTTGCCTTGGCCCATTCTTTTGCCCCCTCCTCAAATCAGAAGTAGCCCCTTCTGTGACAGCTCTTCCGGCAAATAAGCTTTTGGGTCCTTCTTACACATTTTCATTGCATTACACATTCAGTCTGCTCCTGCAGCTCCTCCTGGTATATCTCTGT